CCATTTACCAGTAGTCAGGGTTCCCTGAGCCTCCAGAGCTACAACTATAAAAAGGGGGGTAATAATAATACCTACATTTTACAGGGTTGGTGTGGGAATTAAATGGCAGGTAATAATCCCAAGCACTTCTGTAGCACTAATATGACAGGGAAATCCAAAAATAGGGCTTGATGGACACCAAATAGAAGAGCCTTGGTGAGGCAGTGGGTAGGCGCTGGGCTGCTAGCGGAAAGGCGGACGATTCAAACCCACCAGCAGCGCTTCAGGAGAAAGATGAGGCTCTCTGCTCCCATAAAGATGTCTAGCCTCGGCAGCCCTTGGAAGCAGGTCTCTTCTGTGTAACAGGGTCACTATGTGGAGGAGTCCTGCTGATGGCCGTGGGTCTGACCGAATCGAGCAGTGCATGGTGGGGACAGTGGCGCCATGGGAAACCGAGGCACAGAAGACAGAACTGCCTGCACTGCTGATCAGTCAGCTGCCTCAATCTCCCTTCAACCCCACTGTGGCTATTTCACCTGCGCAACAGGAAGTGCAGGCGAAGGCAGGCTCTTCAGCTGAAGACAAAGAGGAACTACGGTCTATACTGTGGGGTATGCCAAATTCTTCCAGACCCTGGGTGGGATGGGGAAAACCATACATCAAGACATGTGGCCTTCGAAAAGTTCGGGGGGAAATTCCTTCCTCTTTTGATGCCACCTCCCAAGACCTTTTGGGAGGCCTGCACGTTCTGGAGCAGGGCTCGCTGAACCACAACCCATCTTCTTCACAGAGGACTATCTTTACTGATGTCTCATCTCACTTACAAATCCCTCCACACGCGGACTTTTCTGCCTCCTCTATTCCCAGGAGAATGTCCGGAGGAAGACAGGCAAGCGTAGCAGCTGGCCTGGCTGTGGCTAGGACACTGTGGTGTTACCGGCCCCTCCTCCTCCTCACCAATGCTTAGACACCTACAAACCCCAGAGCGTCTGTATCATCCACCAATGGTCTCCCTCTGCAGGGCTCTCCAGGTTCTGACCACACCCCAAAGACAAAAGACCCTCTAGATACCTTCCTCTCAGCTTTGGACTCCCACAGCCAACTGCACATGGGTCTGTCACCGCAAAGGGCTCATAGCGCCCCCTGACTCGCAGCATGTCGAGAACTAAGCACTCCCTGGAACATCCTGACCCCCTTTAACCGGGCTTCATGCTATCAGCTCAGCCTCACCCTCTGCTGTTCCATATGCATCACTCTGAATGCCGAATGCCTAGTGAAAGAACTGACTACCATCCTACGTCCCGAGTGCCCATGAGAAGCCAGCCCCTATCTTACACACTTTCTGATTGAGCTCATTCAACTCCACAGGCATCTAGTAAGAAGGTCAGCCGCATCCTCCCCATTCCATGTGGAGGAAGCAGAGGCGCCAGGGTGCAAGCCCAGAGCCTGTGCTGCTGACACAGCGACGGCAGTGGTCCTTTCTCATAAGCACCTTAGACCTGCCAGGCCCTGACCTGGAGCCTCCATGGACAAGGTGACAACTAAGGCCCATGTGATGTCATGGCTCCAGCACCCACGAGGGGGAGGAATAAGCAAAGAGGCACACGAATAAAAAGCGTCATCTGGATGATTCTTTGGTGTCGGGAAGACAACAAACAGGATTTTGTGATGGAAAATGAGAGGTATACCTATTTCAAAGTGATGCACAAAGGCTCTTGGAAAACATTCTCTTTGAAGTGAAACTGTAAGGCTGCTGAGGGCTGGGGTATTTAGAAAGCACACGCAGAGGCAAGCCTTGGGCGTTCTGGAGAAAATGACCCAAACCAGCGCGCTTGAAGACAAAGTTCAGTTTGTTGCACAGGGGATAGTTGCACAGCAAAGATGCCTGCTTACAGCCATACTGACGCTCGATGCGTCTGCAGGGCGGTGGTCAGACAAACGGCCCCTGGGATAAGGTTTCAAACTGGGCTACAGTGGAGTTAGTTGGAAGCATACAGGTGTGGTTTTGTTTACCTGGTCACTGGAAGCTGACACTAACACAAAGTGACTACAGGCCACTCCATTCCACCCTGGAAGGCACAGAAGCATTCCAAAAACACAGAACTGAACTCTTGCCGCAGTGTTAATGCTCGGTGGAGGAATGGTGGTGAATGGGTGTGTTTTATTTATCCAAGGGACCAGAGCAAACTCGGATTTAGATTTATTCTGTCGATCTTCCATGACCAATGATGGATCTGAGCCCACTCCTGTGTATTAGTAAATATCTGTTATGGCTCTGCCCACGGAACAGTGTTGAACACTTTGGAGCATGCTCACCCAAAGGAGTCAGACATCACACTACAGCCTAAGAGTCAAGGTAAGGGGGATATGACCCTTTATGCCATCAAATCTAAAGTCCCATCAATTAAAAGCATCTTATGTACCACTAAGCAGGGAAAATTACTATGACCAAGTAGAACTCCAATATCAATTGTAAGATACAAGCTAATCTAAGAACCTTAAAATATGAAAAATACACACCTTAAATAAACAAAAAAGGACTATGAAAACAATAGCTAAATTGCAATTAAGAGCCCAAATCAAAAGCAAACCCAACCCACTGCCCTCAAGTCATTGTGCCTCATAGCGACCCTACAGGACAGAGTAGAACTGCTCTGTAGGATTTCAGGAGCAGACAGCCTCATCTGCCTTCCAGAGAGGGGCTGGTGGACTTGTACTGCTGACCTTGCGATTACCTGCCCAACATTGAACTCACAGTGCCCCCAGGGCTCCTTAAAATAATAGGCAAAAAAAAAAAAAATAGCCAAGAGGTATATAAAGAGTTGATTTGAGGAATAATAGCCATCTAGGTCTGGGATCAGAAGGTGGCATTTTAGCCAAGGCTTGAAGGACAGGCAGAGAGACTGAGAACTGGACTGTTTCCAGACCGAGGATGCTGCAAAAGGGAAAACCCAGCCATGAGGTGAAGGTTCCCTAGACCGAAACGGAGAACACTGAAAGACGGATTTGAAAAATCCTGACTACAGCTAGGTTAATGAGGGTGACATTTCTTGCACAGGCTTGGGGAACGGCTCTCCACACTTCCCTTTTCACCTCTGGAACACTGTGGGACTATCACGTACAGCAATAACACAGCTCACTCTACTGATGGTAACCCAAACTGGGAGATTCATTCTGGTGGGAGTGTAGTTTGAACAAAGCCCTCCAGAAAACCCTAACGTCCACCTGCAGCCCACTAGACAGTCACAGTGTAATGGAGAGAGAACCCCTTGAGAAACCTGAGAAGCCCAATGATTCAGGCTCCTTCAGGCAAGTCAATCCAGGGCAGGGAGTTCCTGCCGGTGGCCGGGG